GGTCGTGGTGCTCCTGCTTGCAGGCCTGTGGGTCTGTCCTAGGAGGTGCTGGGGCGCGAGTACACCGTTCCGCGTGACGCGCGCTCCTGAGCGAACGGTGGGCCTGTCAAGATGCGTTTCCAGCCGGCTGCTTTTTTTAACCGATGCGTGGAGGATAGGTCTTCTGATACGAAGCCCGCTTTTATTCTCGGAAGACTGTGCCGCACGGGGAAGTGTATGCCCGTTTCCTTCCTAGGAGGGTAGCTGTAGACTGTGAGATTACTGATTTAATTGCACAGCAAATCAGAGACACGGATTTCTTCAGCCTTAAAGCATGCTTTCATGTATAGGTAGCAGCTAGCTATTTGCAGATAATGTTTTCTGGCTAATGTTTAAAAGTACTTTTTGCCTCTTGAGGCTTTTAAAATTTCCCGTAGCATAAGAATGGCTTCAGTAACCAAAAATGTAGCTTCTGTAATGCAGCTGCCTTTCAAACTAATACACTATTTGGAAGCCCCGAAGTCCACCTTAAGATATACTGTGTGATTATGAAGGGAAAACTATTGCAAGTGCAGATGAAGCTGTAAGTTTCCTTCTTCTCTAGTTCACTAGAAAATGTGAAAATTGTACTTGCCTTCCTTGATTTTAGGAAGCAAAATGCAATGTACTATCTGGAGAAAAAGTGGAAGAAGCTGAACAACCCAGTGACATAGAAGAAGGAGGATTAGATCTCAGTGTGTCACTCAAACCTGTCAGTTTCTACATCGCGGACAAAAAAGAAATGCTTCAACAGTGTTTCTGTGTCATAGGGGAGAAAAAACTGCAGAAGATGCTGCCTGATATTTTAAAGGTACTGAAATACACTTACCATTTATATACTTTTTACGAGCTTGAATGCTTGTGTAACAAAGCACATTTATCTCTCAAGTGTAGTGGACTTCCAGCATAAAACCTGCCTGTTATTTCTTGAAGGAAGATTATATCAAGTCTCTGAAATTTTTTTGAGATTTGATATAGTTATTCCAGTTTAGTCCTTTTTGCACTCCTCAGCCATTGCTGAACTGCAGGCTGCTTATTTTTACACCTTCTGTCCGTACTGGTTAGTTAAATGCAAAAGAAGTTTCATAATTGTGTGGAGTAAATTCAGTACTGTTGTTCACTAATAACTATACTGATTTGTTAATAAAAGTTTGGTTTCTGTTTGTGTCAGCTGAATTTCTTTGTATGGTATTAAGTTAATGTCTGAGATAAGGCAGTAAACCCCCTTCTTAATAAACAGCTTCTGAAGCTGTAACTTCTGTGGACTTTAGTGGTAGTATAGCTAGAGCTTTACTGGCTTAGAACATATGCTTTTTGGGTCTTGTGAACTGCAGGACTTGGTAAAAATAAATTAGGCTAGCAGCCTGTACAGAAGAAGAAATGCTATTTTGTGTGATGTTTGTTAATAGCTTCAAAATCTTTGTCTTTGATTTTTATCTTTGAGTTATACTATTAAAGTAAGTGAGGCAGGAATTCTTAATTTTATACACGTAGTGAATGGCATACAGTCTCATCCGTTTGTCACCTCTGGGAGAAGAAAAGAGGTCTGGAGTAGCTGGAGGCAAAGGCATTACTGAGTTTGAAAGGAAGCTGCCTGGTCATGTAGAACCAAACCTACAGTACGGTCGTGAATGTTACAATAAGTTCAGCACTTCCTGATTTTGGTACTTTTATGGGGTATCATAGTTCATTTGAAAGTGTGAAATTATCACTTTATTTCACCAAGAGGACACCAAGTAGTGTGAAAGATGTGAAGGTAACTGGAATACCCATAAAATCTGTGGCAGCGTATGGTATGTATCAAGCATAGAAATGGATCACAATTTACATATTTTTTATGTTTTCTTTATTATGATATACAACTGTTGGTGTGTTGTCAATAGCAGTGTTTGCTTCAGTTGGTGAACTTGGATTCAACAGTTGGCTCTGATCTTTGCAGGCTTAATTATGTAATCCACCTGCTCCCAAGTGATGGAGAATTAGGAGTAATCAGGGCTGCAGTTGTTTGCTGTTCCATGCTTCACATGTATGGCCGAGTATTTCTGCTGCTCAGTGTTACAGCTGCAGTGAAAACTCCAAGCCATAGGTCATGTAACTGATAGTGTGTATTGCTTAATTTTTCAGAAAAAAACACACACGCTGTTTCTGGTAGTTGTCAAAACTGAAACACCTACTTGCTGTTCTTCAGCAGGTGCATCACTGCAGGTCAGAATAGGGAAGGGACTTGCAATCTGAATTAACCCTTTATCCAGTACAGTTGGAGTGCTACTTACTGTTCATAATTACTCTGTCCTCAGAAATTTTTAGTAGCTTGTGGTCTGTCTTATTTGTCTTCTTAGAACTGTTCCATGGATGAAATCAAAAGGCTTTGCTTGGAGCAGTTGGAGCTGTTATCTGAAAAAAAACTGTTGAAGATACTTGAAGGTATGAATGAAACTTAAGCACCACTGTATACCAGGGAATAGTCTGCCTCTCAACTGGATTTTCACTCCATTTCTAGCTACTAATACATATATTGTTGTGGTTTAACCCCAGCCAGCAACTAAGCACCACGCAGCCTCTCACTCACTCCCCCCCATCCAGTGGGATGGGGGAGAAAATCAGGAAAAAGAAGTAAAACTCGTGGGTTGAGATACGAACGGTTTAATAGAACAGAAAAGAAGAAATTAATAGAGATAATGATAACACTAATAAAATGACAACAGTAGTAATGAAAGGATTGGAATGTACAAATGATGCACAGGGCAATTGCTCACCGCCCACTGACTGACACCCAGCTAGTCCCTGAGCCGCGATTCCATGTCCCCACTTCCCAGTTCCTATACTAGATGGGACGTCCCATGGTATGGAATACCCCTTTGGCCAGTTTGGGTCAGGTGCCCTGGCTGTGTCCTGTGCCAACTTATTCTTGTGCCCCTCCAGCTTTCTCGCTGGCTGGGCATGAGAAGCTGAAAAATCTTTGACTATAGTCTAAACACTACTGAGCAACAGCTGAAAACATCAGTGTTATCAACATTCTTCGCATACTGAACTCAAAACATAGCACTGTACCAGCTACTAGGAAGACAGTTAACTCTATCCCAGCTGAAACCAGGACATATATATACACACTAGTAAGTATATATTAGTGTGTATATATATTAGCATACATATGTATTAGTGTTACATATGTACACGTGCTGACAGTATATATAGTGTGTGTATATGTACATATATATACACACACACATGCTGGTTTTGATCTTTTAAGCTTGGATGAAAACATCCGTTGATTTAGAAGCTATTAAGGACACATTCAGAAAATGGTAGTATAAGCTCCTTTTCCTTAGTACCCAAACTAAGAGCAAAGCTTTTGACTTGGTGGAAAAAACAAAGATAGGAGTGTAGAAGTATTGTTTGAAATCTGTTACTTTAGGTAAACTGACATTAAGTTGCCTCCTGGTTCTCTGCGGGTAAGGTCTGACATACTGCAATACCAGCTCAATTGTATGAGCAATTGCACTGGAGTATTCGGTGTAGTTAAAGGATTCTTGGTGGATCCCTCTGCTCTGCTGAGGCACATAGTTCATGAACTTTGATTAAGGATACGACATTCTAGCTTTTCAGTATCTTGCTGAACTTCCACTTGATATTTAAGGGCTGTAGAATTTATTTGTAAACTTATTGCTGTCTTCTCAATTAAGTGAAACTCTTCAAATCTTGAACACTGCAGAGTACCTTCTATTAATTCTGTCTCCTGTGCTTTATTTTAGTGCCCATAGTATTATACTAGCAATAGTTATTCTGTTTTTTTATAGTACAGTGGAACTGAAAAATGCCAACCACGTGGCTAGCAGGAAGCTCAAAAACGAAGGTTTTGGGTTTTGACTAAGTCTAATGTTTAGAACATCTGCTTTAACTGGGAAAAAAACCCTCTCCTGCTGATTGCAATAGAGTTAATCGTTAAGAGTAAGCCTAACTGTGTAGCATTAATTATATAACCTGCCTAAATTTTCATGTTTGAAACTGTATATCTAGGCAAGATTGGAGCTGATTCTGATACTGACGAGGAGGCAGATGAAGGAGACAAGACTGGAGGTGAATCAGTCAGTCAGTGAGTAAAAGACAAAACATTTAAAACTTAAGAATACTGAACAATACAGGAATTTTTCATGAGAAATTATCAAATGTAATGTTGACAGACCCAATTGCTATATCCTTAATTATGTGCTTACTTTAGTGGAATGACAATAAGCTGTGACTGCTAGCAAGTACTGAACTTACAAATGTGACTTTGTCACTTTATAACATTAAATGTGTCTTGAGCACATAACTGGGTTTCATAATGGTGTTGCCACCCATCAGTTGAGTTGTGGTAATTGAACACGTGCACACTCCTAGCCTGCAGCAGAAGTGAAGTAATATGATTTAGGTTAACCCTCTTTGAGTGAGCTAAAGCAGATTGAGTAACCCATTCCCACTTGGGTCCGTGAATTGTGTAAGTGTATTTTCAGTTCAGCTGAGATGTATCTCTTCTCTTCCTCTCTTCTTTCTGGTCCTTATTCCTGCCTCGGTTGAGGCAGCACTGACTCTCACCTGTTCCCATGTTCTCTGTTAGGGATGCTGTAGAATGTCTAGATTTTCAAGAACAGAGACTTCTGGTTTCTTATTTTTAGGGTGGTGTCTGTCAGTTTTGTAAAGGCCAACACTTTTTAACCTTTTCTTAAAATACTTGTCTGTTTTTTAAAGACAGTCTTATGTAGTATATTACTAAGTCACTTCTGTGAATGGGTGAACTCTTTCTGACAGTTTGCATGGAAGTAATGAAGGGGAAAAGAAAGTTTCTAGTTATCACCCATAATGTATTGAATTTTATGATTAACTTGCTTGTAGAAGACAAAATAAAAAGCTTTCCTATTTTCATTGCTAACCTGATACAGCTGGTCTACAGGTTCAGTACACAAACTTAATAAACTTCTGAGATAATACAAGACAATAAACCAGTGTTGGGCAGATTAAAGTACCTCTTAGTTGCTGGTTTGGTTAGTTCATCTAGACCTAGTAAATGGGAACAAATGGATGGGAAAAGTAGTGATAGTAATCAAAATTTCACATTCTCATCGGTATTTTTGATTTCAGAGACCTGGTTTCTGATCCTGTCTTTGATTCAGAACAAGTTATGAAGTTACTGAATGAAGTAATTTTCTTTGATCACATCTCATCATACATCATACAAATATACTAGAAAATGGAGTGATACTAAGTTAAGTGATGTTTCAGTTGTTCTCATGTGATACAGTTTTATTATCCTCTGGCACTATTTCTTCTAGAGTTCCATGTAGAGCTGGTCTGTGACTGTATCCTCCCCTTTGCTATTTGTTGCCTACATGATCTGTGAATGGTGTCAGTGCACCCATTTATGTGGATTAATTTTCTTATTTTGGATATTGCCCTCTGGCTATTTAAAAAAGCAAAATAAAAAATTTAAAAAACTACAAAATACACTAAATATGAGGTCTTTTTACATAAAGGAGTCTGTTAAGTGATTGATGTTTTGCCAGGAAACTTCTAAATAGAATGAGAAGACAAAATTGTTGGCTAAGGAAACCATGAAAAATGCCCCAGGATTTTGATGTCTGGAGAAGTTATGTGATTTTTTTAAAGACCTAATTCACAAGCTTTTTACTGTTGCAAAATACATGAAATGCTCTTCATCTAAAAGAGGTATGGCAGAATTAGTGCTGCTAGATTTCAGGAAGGTAGTTCTGTGGCTGCAAGGTGTTTCAGAGCTACTGTTGAGACATGTATTTATGACCATTATCTACAGTAGATTGAGTAAAGTCTTGCTTATATGCAAATAAAGTAATGATTTGAGCTGGTAAAAACCTAAGCAGAGGAAATTGTTGTTGTCAGTTAATGAAAAAAACAACATAAGGAAGGCAAGCAGGATTTACTATTTTTTAACTAGCGAGTATCTGAAGACACTTAACAACCCATTTGCCCATGGCACGTAGGAAAGTTTTGGGAAAACAACATCTATAGGATCTAAATGGCAATTTCAAAATCTACTGTTTTTACACTGTACAGATAATATTCCAGGCATAAGCGGTGAGTAAACCAAAGTGAGTTGGTGTTGTGTACCCTTTCTCATAGCTGTGTTGAAGTACAGCAGAATTAAAACTGACCAAGTTCCTTAACCATTGCTGCAGTTACCAAAAGTTGACAAAGCTAGGTCACCTGATGAGAAAGATGTGAGCGGTAACTGAAAGCAAAATCAAGAAGAAATTGTGTTTTTTAAAAAAGTAGAAGGAACTGAGAGATGTTGATCAGAGTTACAGAGCAGATTGCTGCCTTTGACGAACAAAATGGTTGAGGTGCCCCTGGTTCTTGTTATCTCTATCTCCATCCTGATACTTTAATATTTCAGACTCCTCCAGACTGGCCAGGTAAGACATGTTGATGTAGGAATTGTGGCTTTTCTTTTCCTTTTAATGCAGTGGATTAAAAAATGGTATGCTACACACAGGGATGCTATCTTAGAACCTTGGCTCGTAGGTTCAGCTGTGTGTTAGCTTTAACAAAAAAACAAAAATCGAAAGCTGTTTGGATGATAGAGAAATAAAGGGTTAGGAAGAGGTGAAATGAGGAATACTAAGGGTTTATCTTTATCATTAAGCCCTGTGCTTAGTAAGTAGAGCAATATTATGCTTTTAAAACTGTAAAGTGTCACAAGTCCTTTTTACCAAATAGGTCTAATCTTTGGGCATTTAGGTTAATGTTTTTGCAACCTGTGTGTAAATAAGTATAAAAGCAAGTTTGAAAAACTTTAGAAAACTTATGTTTCAGCCAGAACAGCAACAAGTCAGTAGGCAGGGAGGCTAAAGATGCAGCAGTGGAGAAACAGTGAAAGCTGCATTACTCAGCTAAGCTTTGGTTGTTTATAATCTTTAATATGTTTTTAATTATCGTCTCAGTTTAAATGGGTGAATTTGTTTGCCCTGAGAAAAGGTTTCTCAGAATGAAAAAAGCAGTTTGTTTGTTTATATTCTTGCTGTTCATTCTTCCTAGTTTGTCTTCATTACTTGTTGTTTTCTTATAAATGACTACTTTTTTCTGCATTCTGTTAGTGATGCAATATTAAAGCTTCTTTGGTTTAGATCTGACTTGTCTTAGTTGTTTTCATGGACACATAAACGTGGGAAGGGAAAATGTGAATAGCAAATCTTACTCTAGTAAAAAATATACTGATTGGAACATGTTTTTTTTCATCCTTGTTCCTTTAAAAAAAGAAATTGACAAACTTATACCTTCAGCAATGTCCATATATCAATAGAAAAGAAAGCTTAAATCAATACATCTGAAGAAATTACAAGTGTATCAAAATACACAGGCTTTCTTAGAAGGGTATAGTTTGTACTGTGTCTTTTTTTTCCCCAAAATAGGCAAATAGTTAGATGTCTCTAAAGACCTGTTTCCTGTCTGTACTGTCTAAAAGTATCAGGGATTTAGAGAAGTTTCTCCAGGTACAGGGAAGATTGCAAAGTTCAGATCTTTATCTGAAGCTTTTGGATGGTATTGTACCTTTAATTGTAAACTGAACCTTCCTTTTTCTGATATACATATCCTCATTCTGCCACCAGAACAGGAAGTCCTGAGGCTTTTCCTAAATTTCAGCTCTGTAAAAGCTTCACATGCTTCCATTAGCGTGTCAAACACTTGCTCTTATTTTGCCACCAGCTGCTTCTGATTTAAACACTAGAAATCCTAGAATAAGCATGCAGAAGAACTGAAGAAGCAGGGCCTGTGTTTGCCAACAACTGGAAGTTGCTATTACAATAGATACACTTCATTACTTGTGAGCTCTGTGTAGATTTTTTGACTATGCAATTCTCAGATTTTTTTTTTTACTGTCTGCAGTGGAATACCGTTAAACCAAGAGAATTGCTGTATGCCAAGCTTCCAACTAAATGACATAGTTAATTGAAAGGAGTTAGCCAATTAATGTCCTGCAAAACCAAGCAGGCTTTCTTCCCAACTCACTCAGAAGATATTAGCATGTTCTTGAACTATTTCTTTCCTGTTCCCTGAATTGGCTCTTTAAATACCCTCCAACAGAAGAACTGAAAGTAAATTATTTGCCCTAGTAATAAAACATGTATTAAAAAACCAAGCATGCTAATATCATTATAGTGGTCATATGTTCATGTGAATAAATGATCTTTGCTTTGAAAATCAAATGTGCTTATTTTTCACTGTGTGAAAATTTGTGGTTTAGTATTTGCTCTTTCAAGAGTTTTATAGGCTTTTTACAGCTTTGCAAGTCATGAGTGCAGTTTTCGCTTGTTTTGTTTTAGGAAGGCTAGCAGTTTAAAGGCTTGTCTTGTTTTAACATGTTTTGCTCCTGGGTACTGGGCTGTTCACAAGCGTGCAATTGCCATCTGGTATTTACCCCTCTAGGACAATTCGGTTACCTTCACCATTTGGAATCACTGGAAGAATAGGCTATGTGAGTCACTGAACAGATATATTAGCATTTTGCATCTGTTCACTATCTTCTGTTCTTGTGGTGTCTTCAAACTTCACCTGTAATTGGAATGATGGACCTTTTGTAGCTCATTAAACTATTTGATTAGCATCTGTCACTTGGGATACCTTTCCTGAGGAGTGCTACTTCGTAAGGACTTTTTTGCCTTTTTTTTTTTTTTTTTAAAAATCGCTTACTGTTAATTATTTTTATTTGTCATGGAAAACTACCCTTGGAACAAAAATTTGCTGGAGGTTTGCAAGGACTTGGGACTTCTAGAAATATTTTTTTAGGCTTGGAACTGCAAAGGCAGATTTTAATTTAGGAAGGTACATCATCTTTCTGTCAAGAGTAGCAGAGGTACTCATCTCAAGCCTTACTCCAGAGATTTAGGTAAATGTTTCTTAACAATTAAAAACCCTGTAAGGAAAGTATCAGCATGGCTGTATCTCATGTTGTCAGACTGTCTTCTAGTCCAGTACATGAAGATTTTTTTCTGTCACAAAACTTTTCCTCCTGGTCTCCAACCCCAGTTACTACTGAAGCTTGGGATCCGAGCCACCAGTATTGCAGTGCTATTGTCTTAATCCTTAGCCATCCACTCCTCTGACTGTAACCCTTTTCCTAACCTGTGCTGCTGTTTTACCTCACTCTTCATAATCTGCTGGAGTTGTGGTACCAAATCGCCCTCAAACCCAGATTTCTTTGACAGCTGTGCAGATTCCTGAAAGTAATAGGTTCTGTACAGAAGCCAAGCATTGTACTAATGTGGAGCATGCCAACATGAAAAGCTAGCATAGGGTAAATTGAAATTTACAGCATTTGTCACCAACAAAATGCAATGGTTAGCTTCTATTTGCTGAAAAGAACATACTGTGCAAATGTTGTTCTATTAAAAAAAAAAAGCTGACTTTATCTCTTGGAAGACTGACTTTGAACTTAACTGTCATCCTGAGGGAGAAGTGTCTTTAAAGACTGATAAAAAGAGGGAGCTCCAAATTACTGTGGCCGTGTACTAGCATGGCCTGAAGGAAGAGGGTATTAAATTTGTATACTGTGCCCTAATTTTAGATTAGCATATCTCTGCTCCCGTTGTTTGGAGACATGATGATGTGCTACCCTTTCTTAAACCTATACTGCAGTATAGATAATTAGGAGAAAAATATTTCTTATTAACAAAGAAATTAAACAAGGTTGACAAGTTGAGAGGGAAACTGCACTGTGAACTGAAATGCTTCTGCTTGGCCACAAGATGGTGCAAAGTGTCCACCTATGAAGTGAAGTAGTGCAGGTTCACCAGCAATACAGTCCAGTCCAGTCAATTCTGAAAGAGTAGAACGTGCTGTGTAAGTACTTTTGGGTTCTAAAAACTTTTTTGCTGACAGTAGGTAGTCTTTAAAAGAATATGGTTTTGCTGTAGTCAGTGATAGTGTCAAGGCAACAGGTGAAACTTTGCAATAAATTTTGATGTGTGATTTTTTTCAGTTGATCATTTCTTTTTATGTAGCATAACCTAGTGGACAGGACAATACAAAGGAGACCTGAGTGTGATAAGCCTTGGCAAGTGGCAGGAGAGCAAAACCTGAAATTTCTGAGAAGGTTTGCTGTGATAGCATCCTGGACAGATTTAGCTGGTGGTCTGTGCTGGCATCCGGCCTAACCCCACTCAGTAATAGAGGTGGGTACGGAAATGTTGCTACACAGGAGTCTGGCACTGTCTCAAAGCAGAGGACCAGTTAGGCTTTGGTCCTAATTGGTGGCCTGGAGCCTGGCGCTGAGAGGCTGTTTCCCCTGGGCTAGGCTGTGCAGGCGCGTTGGAGTGGTAATTGGGGTGGGTTTCAGTTAACTCTGACCATATGGGTGTGTGTATGAGTGCAAAACTTTTCCTCACAGCCTGTCCTCTGCTCAATCCACTTAAATTGAACGTGGTAATGTCATGTTGTCTGGTGTTCCTTTTCTCCCATGACAGCAGGAAGTTTGAGACTCTGGTTAACATGTCTAAACCATCACATACAGCAGACCTAATGTTATTTGTTGAATTCTTGGGCTTATTTTACATCTAGCAGGTGAGGGCTGTAATCCATCTTTCAACAGCTATGGCCAGCACCAGCCACAAGACTGATGACTGGAATAGAAAATAAATGAGCAAACTCTCTTTGTTTGTGAAGGGGCACAGTTTAAATAATTTTCTGAAGGGATTAGCCATGTATACAGAATTTCCCACTTAGCATAGCTATTTGGACATCTAGTTTGTATCCATTCCTTCTCTATCAGCCCTGCCTGGGAGTGGAAAGTCCAACAGGAATTAAAAGGTTGGGAGAATACTTCTTGAGCTGACCAAGTAGGAAAGCAAGCTGAAAGGATAAATACCACTGAGTTCTGAGAAAAATGCATCAGAGTAAATAGTCTATTCCTGTTTTATTATAATGGCATCAGACAGTACGTTTCTCTTTCCTTACTTAAGGGGCACAACACTTAAATCTTTTTTCAGGTGCTGTGTGCATATGAAAACAGCTACACATTCTCCTTAATTATTGCGTGCTATCATACACATCTATGTTGCAATGGGTACAAAAAGTGGGAGAAACAGAAGATTCTATTCATTTGTAAGCTTTGCTACTACAGAGAAGGAAATAGCAGTCAAAATAACTGTCTCTCAGACCAAGGTGGCTAGAAGTATAACAGTATTCTCCTTCCTGCAATAGCCATTGGACACCTGAAAAAAAAAAATGTATGAGAGCGTGGGGAAAATAGATCTGTATTCAATTTTAGGAAAAGCCTTCAGGCCATTACTGAAAACCAAGTTGTTAAAGTCATTATAGTTACATCTGTGATACCAGAATACTACTATCCTTTTTATAGTGCTGTTTAGCTCCCACAGGCAGGATAGTTACATTGATTCCATATTAATATGTATGAAACCAATGGCACACTGACTTTCAGGGTAGGAAATTGGCAATTCTACTGTCAAAATGCTCACTAAACATGGCAATTGAACTCTTCCTGTGATTCTGGGTCCTGCTGCCTTCCTTCTTACTGTATATTTCACAGTATTTTTACAGTTTGTATAACTAGTATATGCAAAATGTATGAAGGACATGAACATTACACAAAAGTATCTCTTCCTCATCCCTTCTGTAAAGCAGTTGAAACCTTAGAGGTCAACGGTAGAAATCTTTAAATGGAAGAAACAAAGGAATGCAGATTCTGAATACAATTTAACAGTTGAGTTGCATTTCATTTTAAAAAATGTCTTCTTATGAAACTGAGATTGTGATGTAGGAGAGGTGGATGGTGGTGAGGTGATGGTAACTTCATTAAAATACCTGTTAATTTAAAAGGAAAACAGTAAATAGTATTTGAATGCAACTGAAACTGTATTTTTTTTCAAATTGTTTAACTGTGTGACAATTTATTCTGAATTTTAGAGAAAAGCTCCCAATATTAGGGAGGAGCTACCAGTGAGGATTGTTATTCGGAAAGGTGTAGTGGAAATATTTTATCCTTGTGTATTGCTAGGCAAAGAAAAAAAACTCATTCTCAAGTGCTTAGATTAGCACTCTGTATGTTCCTTTATGTTCCTTTTGCCTTTATTCATACTGTAGCTGGCCTATTGGCCTACCACCACATAATTTCTGTAGTTAAAGTAAATGTTTCTTAGAAAAGTTCTCCTGAATTGTAAAAGATGTAGATTAATATGTCATCATCTTTGTTTCCAGACAGGACAACAGTATAGACTCTACTTCTTCTCTCAGAGAAGACAGCAAGCTGGAAGGTCAGGAATCAAAACAAGGTACGTAGTGGAGAAGGCTGAAATTTTGTTTTCTTGATGTTGGGCAGTGACTAATTCTAGATAACTGATAACTCTCTTTTGAACGGTAGCTGCAATCACAGAGAAGCATCCTCTTAGAAAATGAGCTGTGTAGGGTTATAACCTCTCCCTTGAGCCCCATTCCAGAAAAGGAGAGGGGAGCATTGAAGAAGACAATGTAGGAACTTTGGCCTCTTAATTCTGTGAGATTGGAGAGGTTTTTTGTGGCAAGAAGAAAACTGCAGCTCTTCAGAGTTTGCTAGTTTAGGTTCTGGAACATGACTGAAGCTCTTGCAAGGCTCATTTGGCTCTCATGTAGTTTTTCAGCTGAAGAGGATCTTCAGTCATTCCAATTTCTTGGTATATACGTGATTGCTAATACTCCTATTACCATTTGCTGCATTATTCGAGAGCCAGTTTTACTTTCTGTTGAAATGATCATAAGAGGCTACAGTACTCTGTTTTGACATTCATAGAAATCCATTGTGATGATTGTTTGCCAAAGGACTGTTTGTAATTTAAACATTTTGTTCAGTCTTGGTATATGATACCTTGCTTGCTTTGGTTGTGCAGAGCTGGGGTCCAATGGAATGGTGCTTAACACCCACCACTCCTGATAACTAGCATATTTTACTTGAAGTCAGTGCCAGTGGAAGTACACACTCAAATCTTCGAATCTCTGAGGATGAACATTTTGTATTGTATATTTTCTCTTTTTAAATGCAAAAATATAGTGGGTGAGACATTCAGGTACTACAGTGATTGGCAGAATAGAAAATGCAAAAGCAGGTAAGTTAGTGATGCACATTTGAGTACCTGCTGCATAAGGAAACAGTTTTCTTAAACTGCAGCAGTATTTATTTTATTCCAATCATTAAATCAGCACCATGTAACTACTGCCAGTATTTTTGTGCATGAAGCACTAGAATTGTAGGTGTTTCTGTCTGTTTATTTTCATTTGGACTATCTGTATGCAGTAACATCGGAAATAGCTTTTCCAATCAAAGAACATTGCAAATTCGTAGAAGCTATATTTCTCTTCTGCAAAGATCTAACATTATCTGCTTCCTGCAACTCCTATTTCCCAATTGAGAATGTTGTCTAAAAGATGTCTCTTGGAATAATTTTTTGAAACATGTTTTTTTCTGAAGTTACTAGTGAGGGCAATTAGACGGAGGAGGAAAGACTCATAATAAAATCATCAAAACTTTTAGGAGCAGGTTGCTATGGCTTTGTGAGGAATGCTTTAAATGTTGTTTGTTGTACTATATGAAGTGACCTTAGAACAGACAGATTTCCTGCAGATCTCTTTCACTTTCGTGTTATCAAAGGGACTTGATGACTGTTGCAGGTGATTGCTTCATTGTTGTTTTTTATGACTTAATCAACCAGAATATCATGATGGCTTTGGGCTATAACAGTGGTTCCACTCAAGATGTTAGCTTTAAAGAGCTTTTGAGAATATCAATATAAATTTAAAAATATAACTAATCAATCTGCTGAGCTGCAGTCTGTGATGCTATGGGAAGAAAAAAGAGAATGAGATGATAAGCAGAAGTGGATAAAATAAAATTAAAAACCACAATTGAGTATGCTAAAATGAATTTCACAACTGTAGCTGAAGGAAAAAGTAGAAGTTAACAAAATGAAAAAAATAATGAGAAATGCCAACCATGATCTTTACTACTGGGTAAAATCACAGCTGCAAAAGAGGGAAGTAAAGCCATCAGCTAATTAAACATCTATAGGCCCATGAGCTTATATGAACACTGTATTACACAGTTCTAGAGGCTCCAAATTCTGAATGGGAACCCAAGGCAGCTTTGCCCTGCTTCCTGGTCCATACTAATTCTGGGACAGACACGAATGACTTCTAACATTTTGTTTCTGCTTAATATGTGACCAATACTAAAAGGAATCCTGTGGTGGGTTGACACCAGCCAGCAATAGCACCCAGCAGCCACTCAGTTACTCCTCCCACAGTGGGGTGGCAGAGAAGATCAGAAGAGCAAAAGTGAGAAAAACTTACGGGTCAAGATAAAGACAGTTTGAACTATGATCCATTGATGCACCTATTTTTTTGATCCATGGAATGCTGCTTGGTTGAGCAGAATATTAAGTAAATACTGACTGATGCCGTGCAGCAAGACAGAAGAATTTCCACTTCTTAATCCTGTTGATTCCCATTTCTTTTGATCTTTCACATACCTTGTGTCTTGTAAGGTAAAGTTGAAAAGACAGTGTTCAATGTTAATTTGATAGTATGAGAAGCAGGTAAAATTGCATCTGAAACTGAAACACTAATCTTGAAGTTACTGTCACAGTAGGAACAGGGCAAAACTACTTAGGATTGAAGAAGGCCCTGGTATGTTCTTCTCTTATGAATACTTTCTATACACACTGCTGTGAGGATGATTTTTTTATAGCTTCAGAATCGTTTATGTTTTAAACTTTCAGTTTTTATTGCTTGCAAATTGTGATTTATCTTACAAAAAACAAAGATCAAAAGTTCTCTCTACATCTATATGGCTTATCGTACACTTAGGAGAGTTGAATTTGCTTTTTTGTCAGCTTTGATTAGAATGTTGGAGGTGCCACATACATTAGCTATATATGTTCCCATGTATGCTGTATTTACCAGTAGGATGGCCTGTGTTTACAATACAGTAAACCAGTGTTGTTAGGTACTTGATCGATACCTATGTAAGATCCTAAATCAGGAGTGCATGTCAGGGTAACATGCAATATTCCTAAATTGGGACTTAAATGCTGTGACAAATCATAGCCTGTGATCAGGAGTGAATATCTGAATATCTTTTTTTAAGTGTATATAGTAAGAAAATCTTTAATCCTGAATCAATAAAACCCCTGGAGTTAGTTTTAAAATGTTACTGTTGTTTATAAAACCTATTTAGGATTTTTTTTTTACCAGAAAAAAAAAGAATTTCCCCCCGTTCCCCACCTTGTTCCCCTCCTTTCTTCCGCTTGTTTTTTTTTTTTTAGCACAGAAAGCGCATTTATAGCTTGCTTAGGACTCAGTATTGATTTTTTTTTTTTCCCCACACCCTCAGGATAGCAGGAATGTCATAAACCCCAAGAAAAATAGATCTTTCCTAAGGTTCTTCTGCACTGCTCATGAATTAAAACCAAACACATGCATGTACCAACAAGAGTTTAAAAATGTTTTAAAAAAAGAGTAATATTTTTCTAAAACCTTATTTGTTTTTCCTGTAAAAGTGGTCTCTTTAATCAACAAACCTTAAAACTGATTTTGAACAAGGAACAATTTAATTTTTCTAATCCATACTCTACTGCTAAGCTTTGTACAGAACTTCCAAATAGCATGAGGGGGTTGTACAAAAACTCAAGAAGAAAATAAAGCACTATGTGGATGGGGAGTTTTTTACACTTCACACTTGTGTTTTCAAGAAAAGTCTCACATTCTTTTTGTTGCATTTTTAAATCTTTCCTGTATAATAAGAGACACTGAAACATTAATAGTGTAAAACAAAGACTTCTAAAAATGTCGTTTCAGAGATGCTTTATTCTTTTTTGAAAGGGGAGAAAATTGTTTGTATTGGATCTGAAACTTATGTCAAAGGAACATTCTGATTGAGAAGAATTATTAAAAAAATATTTTCAGAAGTTTTCCAACAGCAAAGCATTAAATGTGAGCATCTTGATCAAAAAAGCCAGTGATAGGAAGATGTTGTGGTTTAACCCTAGCTGGCAAATAGGCACCACGCAGCTGCTCACTCACTCTGCTCCTGCTCCAGTGGGATTGGGGGAGAGAATCAGGGGAAAAAAAAAAAAATAGAACTCATGGGTTGAGATAAGAACAGTTTAATGGAACAGAAAGGAAGAAACTAATAATTATAATAAAAGGACAATAATAATAAAAGTCTTGGAATATGCAAAACAAGCAATGTACAATGCAATTGCTCACAACTTGCCAATGGACACCCAGTTAGTTCCCAAGCAGTGATCCACACCTCCAGGCCAACTCCCCCAGTTTATATACTGGGCATGAGGTCACATGGTATGGAATACCCTTTTGGTGTGTTTGGGTCAGCTTGCCCCAGCTGTGTCCCAAATTCTTGTGCCCCTCCAGCCGTCTTGCTGGCTGGGCATGAGAAGCTGAAAACTCCTTAACTTAGTCTAAATGCTACTTAGCAACAACTGAGAACATCAGTGAATCCAAAACACAACACCATACCAGCAACTAGAAAGAAAATTAACTCCATCGTGACTGAAATTAGGACAGAAGATAATTAGTTCAGGGTATTAAAATCATAGGTCCCTGCTGTGTTAGACTGCATTATCAATGTGGGGAGGTTTTTTTGTAGTTTGAATGTCAGTAAGATGTTGATTACCTAATATTAAAAACACCAATTCACAGAGGAAGTACTTGCTTGGGTTTCCAGTATATTTGTTGTTTTGTTGTTGATGAGCAATCCTTGCAAATCAGTGCTTTTAGCCCTGCAGATTTGAGATTCAGGAACCAAAAGTATGGATGCATGAAACTAGCAATTAAAAAAAAAAAAATTAACAGTTTGATGAAAGGGAGCCTTTTAAAGCCAGATGTCAACATACTAACTTTAAGAGTCAGAGAGTCACAGAATTGTTTAGGTTAGAAGTACTGTTTTGAGATCATCAAACACAATGCCCCTGCTCAAGCAGGTCAACCAGAGCAGGTTGCTCAGGGCCACATGCTGTTGAGTTTTGAATATGTGTGAGGATGGAGACTCCACAGCCTTTCTGGGAAACCTCCTCCAGTGTTTGACCACCCTCACAGTAAAGAAGTTTTTACATGTGTTCAGGTGGAATTTCCTGTGTTTTAATTTTTGCCCATTGCCACTAGTCCTGTCAGTGTGCAGTACTGAGAGGAGTTTGGCTCCCTTGTCTTCATGCTCTCCCATATTTTTAAAGGAGAATTAATGTTAAAAAAACCCAGGTTTGCAGTACTGTCTGAATATGTATTAAATAAAGAATATTTTTGGTATATAGAACATCATTATAGACTAAAGTAGCTTACATATGAATGTAAACTTTCTTTGAATCTTCATGGTAAGAAATTACATGTATTTCAAACCCACAGATCTTGAACACAGCCATACCTTTGGATAGTGATACTACCAAAAGGAATTATAAAGGCTTTAGAATCAGTAAATTTACCATCATCTGACTATAAATTGTTCATTTTAGGCAGGAACCAATTCTGCTCTAAGTTTCCACAGATACAGAGGTTGGAGAAGGACTAATGATTTCTGAGGCCAATGTGTCAAAAGCAATAGTCTCTCTGTAGACAAATTGTAAGAACAGTTAACTCAGGTTCTGTTAGAGTTTTCTTTTATTTTGTTGCACTGCCTTTTCCAATTTATTTTTTTTTAAATAAACTCCAACTTTCAGCCAGCATTAAAAGCCACTGCCATAACTTTCTCCATGTTTTTACTGAGTTAAATACGTCTGAAATACTTGTGATAGATTCTGAATAGTTGCACTAGTAAGTGGAGTTTCTATTAATTTTTAGTACTGTGCCTGGCTATAGTGTCCCACTCCTTTTAAAATACATAAAATAGTTTTAAAGGGTCATTTTAAAAACTGTATTTTAAAAACAAAGTTTACTTTAAAGATAATAAACAATAATCAATTTTGCACTGCAGAGGCTTCCTTGTGATATAAAATCTTATGATATTTTAATTAGGAAAATAGATCATGTAACTCCATAGGATGGAATAAATTTTCCTGGTAGTGCTGCTTTGCTATACTGCATGTTCTTCTAAATTGGCATAAAAATGAATTAACACTTGTCTAAATTAGATCAGCCTTAAAAGTTGGAGGAGAGAAGGAACAGGAATTAGTTGTCTTAAATTCACAGATCTTTTTGTCACTCTTAATCTATAGCGAAACACTTTAAGAAGAAGCAATTTTGTAAGTTGAAAGAAAAATGGTTCTGTTAGGCAACTATATGATTGTTACATTTGTGTTACAGGCAAGGGAGAAGATAGTGATGTCCTCAGCATAAACGCAGATGCGTATGATAGTGACATAGAAGGCCCATGCAATGAAGAAGATGGCCCAGATGGGCAAGAAAACACTGTCAGAAGTGGAGCCAGTCAGATAGATGACCTTGAGAAGGATATTGAGAAAAGCGTGAATGAGATTCTGGGGTTGGCAGAGTCCAGCCCAAAGGAGCCCAAAGCAGCAACCTTAGCCATTCCTCCGTCAGAAGATGTTCAGCCGTCAGCGCAGCAGCTGGAGCTTCTGGAGCTTGAGATGAGGGCCAGAGCTATTAAGGCTCTGATGAAAGCTGGTGATATAAAAAAACAGCTCTGAGATTGTTTAGATTTAATTTTCAGTATTTGTTTTGAAGGATGTGATGTCTGTTCTCTTCAGTGCTAAAGTATATTTGGGTTGGGTATGACATTCCTCATTCAAACCCTATTGTGTATCCTGACCCGTGGCTTAAGCCATTGATAGTTGATTTCATTGCCTTTAGTGTGCTGCTTCCATGATGTGCACAAACAGTGGTTTGATCAAGTCTCTCTGTGCCGAGTTATCTCCTCAAGGAGTCACACAACATATAGAGCTATGCCAGGAACCTGGTGCCTTCCAGAAGGGTTAGAAGAATCAAGTTATTTATAACCCCATGGTTAGAAATTACCAGCTGTTTTATTTATTAGGAACTTGTTAAACTACTTGAGAAACTTGATTTATATGTACTTCATTAAAAATACCATTTTGAAGAGGTCTTCCGTCGTGTGACTGCCTTCAGCAGTCTGTGATGGGATTTGAGATTGCTTATTTCTCCTTGGGGCTCTCATAATGTAGCTATTCTAGTTAAAATGAATGATGATTCACTTAAAAGCATACTTAATTTTTAGAAAGTTGAATTCCGGAAGGGAGGGTTTTTTCCCTTTCAAATAAACAGTTGAACCATGTTATTTTCAGGGTTATGAAAGTGCCTGAAAGTGACAAATACCAGAGTTTTTATACTGTTGGTCATGTGTTTTTGTCACTCTTCTCCACTGATAATCTTCTGTGTCATAACTGAAATAAAGAAAACAGAGTTTTTTCCTGACTGTAAAGCTTTTTTGTTGAATGTTGGGCATAATATTTAGGGCAATGCAGTAAATCAGACTATTTAGAAGACCTTGAGTTTTTAACACTTAACTGATGTAGTCATTTCATGTTCCTTATAAATGGGAAAATCCACCTAATTTCAGTATAAATGTTTTTTCATAAAAGGCATTTAATTTATTTATTATATAAGATTTTAAAATAATAATTGTACTTTAATCCATTTGAAGTGTATTTCTTTGTAAGTAAATTGTATTATAGGATTAGTTTTCCTGCTATGATTTCTTACAACAATTAAAATAATTCTGATTTTGTTTAGAATTAGTGCTGGGTTTATAGATGGCTCCTAGTTAAATGCATATTAAAATATTTGTGTGTGTATTTACATACACACACACACAAATTTTTTTTTTTTAAGGTATGAAGTTTATGAATATGGTCCTTGTTAAGTAAAATGATGTATTATATGTGGTTACTCCTGATTTTCCCTTGATTGTTACTTAGAAAGCAAATTAGATACTTTGCAACAGTTGCATAGAAAAATTCCATGCTATTTTGCAATATTACTGCAGACGTTTTTTCTATTCAAATACTATGTCTTGAATTTTCTTGCAAGGTTTATAATTTTCTTTTTCTCCTTCCTTTTTATTTCCTTTCCTTTTTTCCCCCTTTCCTTTTAACCCATTTTCTACCCTTTTACCTTTCTTTATTGTTAGTCAAGTGCATTGTCTTTAGTAGAAAGCTTTTTATGTATTTCTTAAAGTATGATTGATTTCCTCTAGAATCAACAGTATTATGAGTAAAATGGTAGCAAAATAGTTCAGTGTCAGTTTGATTATAAACTAAAACCTTCATTAAATACAGCTGAGAAAATTGCAGTGTGAGTGCACTGAATGGTGGCAGTGATCTGAGTAAATTTTACCTGACTGTAATCAGTTATCCATGGCAACAACATTTTTCTATTATTTTTGAGCAAATGGAGGATGTAAGTTAGAATATATATATATCCACTTCAAAAGGTAACTTAACTGTCTCAGAATATATGTGTGTTGTTTCAGTTAATTTTATTTGGCTGTTTGGTGAACTTGTGATTTGTTTGAGTGCAGAAAAACAAAAGCAGGTAATGAAAGACAGACTGTTGGCAAAACCTAGATGTCTTGTTATTTGTAAAGTCATAGGCTAGTAGAACTACGTTAGACTGTAAAAATAAGTTTTACTGCTGCTATACTTAGATCCTTAAGGCACTGAATATCTACTTTACCTGCTGTGGAAATGAAAAAGCTGGCCTGCAAGGATATTTGCTTCCTAGTCCTACTGTGCAGCCCTGTATATCTCGGCCAATAGGAAAACTTGTTCCTTACTGTTTGCCTCTCTTCTTTCATGTTGAGGTTCGTTTGCCAGTTCTACAATCTGCTGTAGCATTAATAAGGCTTGCAAGATCCCAAGCGATAGGAATAAACAAAAATCAGTCCTTAATATTGAAGAAGGATGTACAATACAGTAATAGCTGATTGATAGGAAAAGAGTTTATAGACCTGTATCTTTCCTTTTTTTACTGGTACTCCCAGCACCTGTGGTTTTATCACCCATGGAGATGATTCCTGGCGGACTGCATACTCCTGTGTGGCTCCCATGTATTTCTGCCAACCACTGAACAGCAGAAGGTTACTTCATGCAGAAGCCATGCCTTGGTAAGGCATAAGTTAGCATGTCTTAGGAAAGCTGAATGTAAATCAGATTTAATTAGAGATACATTTCCTATGCCACCAGAAGAACTGATACAGTCAAATGTACGAAGTCCATTCAGTGATGTCGCATAACGATACATTTGCAGTTGTTTGGCAACAAGGAAATACTGCTAGAAGTAGTGATAAACTAGAACATAGTTCTATTCTGCTGCCTACTTGCTAGAGGTATATGGCATTTATTTCTGAACTGACCTTCATTTTCCTACTGGTTTTCCAGGTCACCTTTAAAAGTTCATTTTGTAGTGTGTTGAACTGTCAAAGGTCATTATTTCAAGGTCCATATCAAGAATTTGCATATGCTAACTTTAATATGTAGTGTGATGAAGATGAAAGAGGTTTACTATGCATATGACAGAGAAGATTTGTAATTATAGCCTAATTAAATTTGAAATTAAAAGAGGAGAAGGATTCCAAGAAAATTAATCTGTTTACAAAAATAAAGTAATATATATATCATAAAAGAGACTTCATGTGATTGATTACACAAGTGCTAATTCATTTTTAGGATACTGTATTATTGCTGCTTAGGTTAAAAACAGATCAGCTAAATTATATGGGTTCCTGCATTGATTTGTATCAAAAAAATCCAGTGTATTTAAACTATTTATTATACAACCATTTTGTTGTTCACTTTTAAATATCTCTTTGATTTTTTCCTTGAAAAACAGATTTAATATTTCACTTGGAGGAAGAGGCAATTTGTATGTAAAATGCAGTCATGAATTATTTATGAAACCTTAAAATAATTTTAGTGGGTTTTGATCAACCGCTTTGTTGGGGAAAGATATACACTGGGAGTTGGTCAGCATGAGGAAAAAGATCCTAATCAAATTCTGAACTGCAACAAGAATATTTTCTGATGAATTTTGACTGTCCTTACAGATGAAGCACAGTGCTCTTTTGAGAAGGAGGGTTGATTGTGTTTGTATTAGGGAAATAAAAAGGTGTGACTCCCCGGAGAGCCAAAAGTATCTATTATTTCTGTTTAGAGCCTTTATGTTATTTTTACAGTGATTTCATAGAGAGTAATAATTAGACTTCAAGATGCCACTTTTGAAAGACAAATCACAGGCATTTCCTCAAAAAAGAATTAGTTCTGTTTGTAACACTCTTTTCACTGTAGTATTTGCTCTCAAAAATATTTTGGCTAAGAGACTTAGTGCCTTCCATAACTTTTTTTTAAGCTATGTTATAAAATGTGTTCTTTCTGTTTAAAATTACTGTAATTATTAATCACAGTGGATGAAAGTTTTGATCATTGTCTTCAGGTTGCTGTAGCACCTAGGGAATCAAATCATCTGTGTAGATGATTTAAGATGCTGCTGTTGTAACTGGATACTGCTGAAGTGGCACATTAAACATGAGCAGTGTGGCACAGCATTGTGAATCTCACCAGACGAGGCAGCTGGGTGGCCCTTTCCTGCAGTGTTGTCTGCATTTGAGGGAGCATGGTTTGACAAACAGCAGCCACCATGGGGGAACCCTGTAATGGGACAAAACGTCTCTTCACCAGCTGTTTCCTTACATGGTCAGAGCTTTAAGGATCATAAATGGTTCCTCGGTGATTACTATTACTTTTTAAATATTAGTCTACAAAAGCAGTTGTCTTAACAAATGTTACTTCGTTTTCATCTGTGGATAAAGCATGTCAAGGGTTTTCTAAAAAACAGCAGCTGAAAAGTGGTTCTGTGCACATGAATGCGTAGTAGGTTGTTACATGGCATTTTACATGCCCATCTTAAAATTATAAGCACTAATTTAGCTTTATGCGATCACTGACACTGGTAAATGTGCCCTTTTCACAGAAGATAATTGAAGATTAATTGTGAAATGGGCCCTTTAGTCAGGAAGGGAGATGAGGGGGTTAACTGATGCAAAAACATAAAGAAGAAAGGCATAACACCAAATTAAAAACTGATTATGAAGTCCTGCGATTTAATCCCAGTAATATAAACCTTCATGTTTATTGCTAAGTCAGTCTGCAATATATGGAGAGACAAAAATGTTTGTTTACCTTACTTATGGCTAAATTTAAATGTTAAAATACTGGGGGGGGTGTTGTCAAGTCTCATGTTTCATGGGCCTTTCTTGACATTAATATTAAAATATGTAAACAGAATGCATAAAAGGTGGATAAAAATCTGAAGCTTGTAAAAAGGTTTAGCCGCATACCAGTTAGTCAAACTGACTCTGTAGTCAGACACAGAAAGACCCCAAAAGCATAAATGTAAATATTGCATGGTTAGTAAATTGTAGAGCACAAGTAATCATGTCTATTACAAAAAAAAAAAAAAAAAAGCATGTTTATTCAGTACATCATCACTTTCTTAAGCATATGTGAAAATGTCATCTTTTTTCATGGGATCTGTCTTGATTGTTGTCAGACTCAAACCTGAATTTTCATCTTTTGTATCTAATGCTTCTGCAAAGTTATTCTAGATGAGTATCTTACACCACGAATTCTCAAATCTTGCATCCCATCTTCCATTTTCAGACTCCAGTCAATCTTACTTTACTTACAAAATCTCAGCTTTACTTTCCTGGAATACTGTGTGCAGTTCTGCATGTCTGTATCGAAGATGATCAGTTGGGAGTGGAACAGATGCAGACAAAGACTCCTAAGGTCACCAGAGGAGCAGAGGACATGAAACATGACTAGAAAAGCTTGTTTGGTCTAAACATGTTGAAACTTGCACGTAAAGA